GTTTTTATTAAAAAAATTAAACTTTTTAATAAAAACACAGGCAAATTTGCCTGTGTTACAATTTAAGGGATAGTAAAGAAAAAGAAATAGGTAATAACGGTAGACAAGACAATAGGAAAAATCACCTCCTTGTCAAAAAACACTTTACGACTCAAACATTGGGTATTAGATAAAGATACACAGATATTAAGTCTATGCCAGAATTGTGATTTAAAAGAAAATATACAACAGCAACAACATGTATGGTTAAACGCAGCCTGGATCAGTTATTTAATATACAGATAACAAGAACAAAGAAATGGTATGGGGATAGATCATTTCTAGATACAAGACCAGTGACACAACCTCGGATAAAACAACCTTACCAATTTATTCCCAGACGTCATGAAAATACATACCGATTCACAAAAGTATTCACAAATATTCAGGAACCCTTGTAGCAAAGATACTTAGAGATGCCACTAACAAAAAATCTAAAAGCTATATTAATAATAGAAGTCATTAGAAAGAATGGACTAAAAAGTTCCATATCAACTTTGCTAATAGATAACAAGCCAATACTAACGATACAAAATAAGAATTGGCCCTCTCTACAAAAAATAGCACTTACAGCATTACTAATCTTACTGACAATAGCACCAAAAGAATCAAAAGTGACAATATATACCAACTCAACTTTTCTAAAGAAGGTTAAAACAGGAAATAATATTGGCTATATTGAAAATCAGAAAATTAACAAACAGAATTTTGGAGGATATATAATGGGAGTAAATACCCTGTTAGATATAAAATTCATCGAACTAATAGTAGAACCAATAGAGACAAAACCACAGTACAAACAAAAATGGGTGGAAACAGAATTCATATCAGCAAAGATAATAGCAAACAACTTTTTTGCCATAATGAAAAAACAAACCCTGCTGTATAATATGAACTTTACAATTAAGATAATACAACAAATGGAAAAGTATAACAATTGGCTAAATCAAGAGCGAATAAAACAATTGCAAAATGCCCACCATGGAATTAACTGGAAATTGGTATATGAATACTTAAGTCTAAAAGACAAACCAAGTATCAAAAAAACAAACCCTAAAAGATCTAAACTTAAGAGCTTTAAAATCAAGATGCTAACTGACGAACTACCTACTTTTGCAAATTTATACAAAAGACACTCGACAAAATATAAATCTTCAAACTGCCATAGGTGTAATATAGAAATTGAGAATAAGATATATTGGTTGATATGCAAGAACAATAGTACTAAATTAAATCAAATAATATCCCAAGCTATCGACAAGACAGGATCAAAAAATAAAAAAGTAGGACAACAACAATGTCAAAATCTGTCAAACTTTAGAAGAATACACGTAATTAATCAGATACCAATTAGGGTAATAATACCAGAGAAGTATCAGATCTCAACATCAGTAATTGCAATAAAAGATATTGTAAAGTTATACAATATAATAGTATCATATATACATGAAGAGATTTGGATACCATCACAAATAGATTCTTATAATACAAATTCACTAAACTCATCTAATATAAATAACATGCAGAATCAACAAAATCAAAATTTGAATACAAATAATGCATATATAAATCAAAAACAATTAAAACACAATAAATAGAAAAATAATTTCATTAAATTTAATATTTCGGCTTTCGATATTCATAACATAGACTAGAGATTTTTGATCTATTTAGCTAAAATTTAAATCTAGAGTAAATAAATAGAAACACTTGAGCTTTATTCTCCCTTTCATATAAATATAATATATTATTACAAGTCAATTTGTAAATAATATAATTATAAATAATAAAGAACTGGAGAAAAGACCTCATTTAAAAAAAAAAAAAAAAAAAAAAAAAAAAAAAAGAGTTACTGGTTATTGGTTCTTTCAAGAATAAAAATACTTTCTTTGAATACTAGTAGTCTCTCTCATAGGTTTCTCTCGCTCTTGCTAGTCTTCTTCAAAATTTTTAACAAAAATTGGGTAATCAAAAGTCAACAATATTTACTTACCAAATTTAGATAAACTCAAGAATACAACTATATGACTTGTTTATCAATAAATATATGATCGGCAGATACAAAATTCTCCACGTGGCTAGGATCTGATCTTTATCTGAAGTTGACTAGTAGTCAGACTATTTCTTGATAGAGATAGTTTTTCCCTTTGTTAGCCCTTGGGCTTTTCTTTTTGATTTTCTTTTTTTACATATCATTGTACTTCTTTTTAGTTTTTCTTTAAAAATTCACCTTCATTTTATTTGTTTTTTTATAGTTAGTTTTTCATGATAGGTGGTTTTGTATTAGATAAAATTACACTTTCTTTTGCTCTCAGTAAAGAAAGAAGATATGAAAAAATTAGCTTTGACAGGCTAACAAAGTTTATCTAGCTTAGTTTATAAATTGATACAACAAGTCACAGCTAGGCACATTTATTACAACTAGGTGATGTCAGGCTTGCAATTGCAAGGTTCCCTGTCTAGTTTAGAAATGAGCATTACGTTTAAAATAGTTTACTATCACTAATTAAATAAAGTCTAAAAAATGAGCTCTGACAAAACTGTCAAAGAAGTTAAAAAAAAATAAAATAAAATATCAAATATATACTGTATAAAGTTATTTCAATTTAATTCTTTGTTTAATGTAATAATAAAATAATTTACAAGTCTAAATAAAAGAGAATAATAAAAAAATAAAAAATAAAAATTTTTTTTTAAAGTGTTACCTCTACCGTATGCCACTGCTTAAAGTACCCGGGGCTTATTCGAATCCTTGAATAGTACCCATAGGCACTATGTGAAAAACTAGATACTATATCTGGAAAATATTTAAAAGTAGTAAATCATTACAGTTACACCCCAGAGTCTTATTCAAGAAACAGATTGGTAGTGATAGTGAGTAATATCCGGGTCTTAATCATGGGGGGTATTATTTTTGGGGGATACTGTAAGCAGTATATCTAAGGCAACATACAGTAGGTTTAACTTGGTGTGGCTTAACCTATAACCAAAAAGTATATAACAAAATTATACAGTATCAAAAAGTGCTATAACTTATATAACTTAGTATACATGCCGTAGAATCCACGGTTTGGCCGAAAGTATTCGGCATTAATTTTAGGTCATCGGCCAACACTACAATCAAAATATAAGGCCTATAAGATAGTTCGATATTCTAGCCGGCATTACATGATACACCAATTACAAAAATTTAGATACCTAAAATCAAGATAACGATAAGATCTTTTTTTAGATTAAAAAAACAAAATATTCAATGAAAAAACTTAAATAATGGCGGGACGAGGAATGAATAGATTTGGTAATATGATGCCGAAAGGCGGTAGTAAGGGCATGATTACTGGTGCCGGGGCTTTACTGACATTAGGTGCAGCTGGTATTTTAATCAATGCGAGCTTATTTAACGGTAATGAATTTTTTATGGATTAAATTTTTTACCTTAATATATTGAATTCAATGATAGGATAAAAACTAATTTTTTTTGAAAAAAGAGTTCATCAAAATTTATGTATAATGTCAAATATCGAATTTTTTTTAGTCTTATACGAGATTTTTTCTTATATGGCAAAGTAAAAGTAAGGCAATCATCGAGTGAAATCTAACGAGTTTTATTAATTATTAGTTGATGGTGGTCATCGAGCGATCAAATATACACGACTATTTGGTGTAAAAAAAGACATATACAGTGAAGGCACACATTTGATGATTCCATGGTTTGAAACGCCTATTATTTACGATGTTAGGGCAAAACCACGAAACATCGCGTCTTTGACGGGTACAAAAGGTATATACGTAATTGTAATTCGAAATACAAAAATAGATTAGGTTATGGCACGTGGTTAAGAAGCTGATAAATAAATAAATAAAATTAATAGATCTTCAAATGGTTAATATTACGTGTCGTGTCTTGTCAAGACCAAGCGTAGACTCCTTATCCACAATTTATCGTACACTTGGCACGGATTATGATGAACGAGTTCTTCCATCAATCGTTAATGAAGTACTCAAATCAGTTGTTGCACAATTTAATGCATCACAATTGATTACACAGCGTGAACGGGTATGGATACATAATAAAAATTGAATTAAATAGTTTGGAGTTAATAATTAATTAATTATCAACGATAAAAGCTCGATTTATTTCTTACACGTGCATAATTCATAGGTATCACGTTTAGTCCGTGAAAACTTGACGCGTCGAGCACTCCGGTTCAATATCGTTTTAGATGATGTATCAATTACGCACGTAGCATTTTCACCGGAATTTACACATGCAGTAGAAGCCAAACAAATTGCACAACAAGAAGCACAACGAGCATTTTTTGTGGTCGAACGAGCTAGACAAGAAAAACAATCAATTATTGTTCGAGCTGAAGGAGAAGCCAAATCAGCAGAATTGATTGGAGAAGCGATTAAGAATAAACCAGGATTTCTTGAATTACGTAAAATTGAGACAGCTCGAGAAATTGCATCAATTTTATCACGATCACAAAACAGACTTTTATTGGATTCGGAAACGTTATTGCTTAATATTACCGATCCTGCAAAGTAAGTGTAACAAATTCTTTTCATGACATCTTTATATCACAAAAAGGTTTGAAATTTAAAATAATCTTATTTGTTTATTTCATAGAAAAGAGAAAAAGAAATAATATAAACTTACCAAATATCCAATGTACAAATTTTTAATAGAAACCAGTGAGCTATAGTCATAATAAAAATTTTACTAAAGTTTTATAGTAATCAATACTCAAATTAATACGTATATATATAATACCTATATAAAACGTATTATATAGTATTATGTATTATTGGCATTAATGAACTTATATAAATCATTATTTTACATACATCATACAATCTAAGTAAATTTAGTAAAGCTACTGGAAAACTTGAATCAGCTAAATCATATTATCAGTATAAAATATATATATATTTTTTACATTGAAAGGATGAAATCTAGTATATGTGACTCCTCTTCTAAATAAATTGACTCTTTATTGAGGCATCATCTATACTATATTTTAATTACAATGAAATATGAATATCCGTAACATCTAGATCAACTATATCACCACTTTCGTTAATATAATTAATGGCCTTATTAGCAGCAATTTCTGATACTTCCTCGATTTTGTTTACTGGATCTTTAGGTACTCCAGTGATTAATGCAAAATCAAGATTGTTTAATGCTTCAAGCTATTTTAGAGTATAATATTAATAATATTATAAAATTATATACAGTATATAGGTAGATTTTAAATACTTTGAAAATTTTAAGAAAATTACCTCTAATTTCTCTAATTCTTCTATAATAATAATATTTTAAGACATGATATATGTGATTAATACTACTATAAATATAAATAAAAAAAAAAAGACGATCGAATTTCACAGATACCTTTGGTCGAACCTTTAGTCGAACTAAGAGAGGCAACAGTATCTGCCACAAATACACCTTTATAAAATAAAAAATATTACATACAAATAATAAAGAATATATATTATTCATTACGTATAACAAAATTAAAGAACTTACCATTTTCAGTAGCAGCTTTAACATCAACAAGTTTAGAAGAATCACCGATTACAACTATTACATTTACAGCAGGTGAGAGTGCATCAAGAACTTCTGTATCAAATTTATCTATAAACTATAGTAAATTTTTTTTTTTATAAAATTTACTTTAAAAAAAATGCATAGATAAAAAAATGACAAGAATAATATAATAATGATACCCGATCAGCTCCATTAGCCAATAAGATAGCTACCACGTTTTCATATTTCACTGTAGCCTCGACGAGAAATTCTTTTTTTGTAGAATCAAATACCTAGACGCATATATATTAAATGCGATAATAAATGCGATAATATTATCAACTTTAATAATTACTCTATCATTATATCATTATTAATCATGATGTTAATAAATCATAATTATCGAGTTTATTATAACACACCTTAATGATATATCTTCCTTTTAATTCTTCATAAAATTTTTTTGCGTATAAAATTTCTCCGATAACTAAAACTTCTTGCTTTACTTCCATATTTTCTTTTGTTATGTTTAATAAAGAACGTATGTTTAAAAAGATTACCTATTCTATTATTATTTTGTATACTAAAAAAAAAAAAAAAAAAGTAGGTTATCTAAAGAATAATTTTATGAAATATCAGTGTTATTACCAAGACAACAATGCAGAAACGTGCAATTTCAATTCGTATCTTATATTTAAATAAAAGTAATCTTACACAATCGGATGATCAAATATGCACCATTTAATTAACATCTAATTAATTGTCATATACAGTAGGTTGATCTTGATACATCACTTGAGCAAAAGCATGTGTCAAAAATTAAATCGTGTCAAAAATTAATCATGTCATAAAATGTAAACATTTATTCACCTTAATTAGTTTAGATAAAAAAAATGACAGATATGATAAATTTGATGATTTTATTTACAAAAAAGTACATTAAATGAAAATAAAAGAATATCGGATAAATAAAACCGGAATCTAAAACGAAGAAAAGGAAAGATAAAAGCGGAGTCTAGAACAAAGAAAAGGAAAAATAAAATTGTAAAAAAAGAAAAAGATATGTACAAATTATGTTATCTATTCATTGATAATATCTGATCATTGATAAAAAAAATCATAAGCTACAGAGGATTGACACCATGAACTTGAAGTCTATACAAACAAGTAAATTGAGGATTTTCATGATTACTATGCACTTTCATCATGATTGACCTAACCCTTTTATTATTCATGGCGATGGAATCTGGTACGTTAAAGATCTGAGCTGGTCTTCCAGAAATATCATATTGATAATTTCCCAAAAAGTGAACAAAATCATCAGAATATTCAATCTCATTTTTTCTTTCCTTCTTTTTATTCGCACCTACATTTTCAACGGATTCACCTTCATAATAATAATAATCATCATCATAGTAATCATCAATAACACCCCATAATTCAAAGTCTTTTGGAGCAGAAGAAATTGGATCAATAGAAACTTGTCGACCAATGTGATGGTAGGTTATATGTGTTACAAAAATGCTCCGAGAAAGACGAATAGCTATTTGGCCTTCAGTTCCATTAAAACACCAACATTCACCAACGTTAACGCTTGGTGTTATTACAGTTGAAGCCTTATTACTTTTTATAACATTTTTACGAGTGAGAAGTCCCCATAATACTTGATAAGATTTACTAGGCCACACTTCGTAGTCACGTGTTGTGAGGTGGGGAATTATACGCGCACCACCTGTGTAAAGAGCATAATCAGGGCTTGTACCATCCATCATTTTTTCGAGTTGTTCGTGAATAACCTTAAAAGGAAGTGGATAAACATTAGATAAACACGCATATAATTATTAATATATATATATATGTATAATAAAATTAAAATAGTATAATTATATAATTATTATTATTGTCATAATTATATAATTATTATTATCAATATAGTTATCATCAATATAATTAACATCAATATAATTATATAATTATAATTATAATAATAAATAAATAAATATAATTATATAATTACACACGCATATAAACACAAATACGCGCATATAAATATAAAATACACGCATACAGAATTTCAAATAAACGCATATAGAATTTCAGATACGCGCATATATATATATGTATATATTTAAATATACACGTATAATAATTACCTCATTCAATTGTCTCCTCACCAAACCGACCAAATCATCATTTTTTTCAGCATCCAAAGAATCAGTAGAAATCTTAAACATTTCCTTTTCAACAAATTCTTGAACTTGAGCTCTCACGGCATTATCGTCTATTTCTTTAATAGCACCGATACCGAATTTTCCATTGATATGACCATTAAAATTAAAGTAAACAAAAATAATTAAACATAATATAGACCAAAAATAAATATTAGGGAAATTTTCCCATCTAAGGTGATTTATAAACCAATAAAAGTAATTTATAAACCAATAAAAGTAATATTTAAGGTGATTTATAAACCAATAAAAGTAATGATGAAAAGATCCATGAGAACGATGAAGACGAGGATTGAAATGTAGGTGAGGATTGAGGTGAATCTCAGTTGATTGAACATTATTATTAAGATCATCATTAATTGAAGAATCATCAGTTTTAAAAGATACGTTAACGTAATCACCCAAGATAGTACTTGATGATTCTTCGGTTTTAAAAGGTAATTTTTCAGGAGAAGGAATGAAATGAGGAAATATCATAGATAAAGCAGAAGAAGTGCGACTCATAGAAATTCCTCTACTTAAATAAGGAGTCGAAGATTCCGAAAAATCCAATTCAGGATAATAAGAGTCACTATCAAAATACATTAAAGAATTTGGACAAATAACGTTATCGTCATTGTCGGAATGATATTTTGCAGCGTCACAATTAATATTTCTGCAGCCAATCTTATTGCAACCAATTCCACTACCACCATTTTTCATGAATTCAAATTCGAGACCAGCGTTGATAAACCGTTGTTTATATTTAATAAACAAACATTTTTTCATTTTATAATAAACTACCATGTTTAAAGCTTCGGAATTGTTAACAAACCAATATTCTTCAGAAATTGGATTGTATAATTCACGAACTTCAAACGAGTCGAGAATCATTTCGAGATATTGTTTGGCGTCTTGTTGAATACGAGGAACAGACTGGTCATATGCAGCTTCCAAGTCAAGGTGAGTTGGAAAATTTGGGTTGCGAATACGGTGAAGGCTTGTTCTACTACGTGTTATTGGAGACATTTTCGAGTGAAGAAGTAAATATAGAGAAATGCAATATGAATGTAGTGGAAATGTAAGTGTAATTGAAAATATAATAGTGTTGGAATATATAAATGTAATAAAAGACGCGAAGTATGCTAAAAATTTAAATTATGGATATTTCGCGTTTTTTTTTTTTCGAGATAAAAAAAAAAAAATTGGGAAAATGATAAGAAAAAAAAAAAAAAAAAAAAAACAGGAGTAGGATTGATCAAAGGGTATTTATCATGTAGGGAAATTTGAATTTTTTTCCTGTCAAAAACAGGATTAAAACGAGTCGCAGTAGTGTTATTTGTTATTTCTAAATCATTGTTTTCTAAACAATATTTTTATAATTTTTGAACTGTAAACTGTATAATACTGTAATACTGTAATACTGTATATATACATGTGCCAGCATACTATAGTGTATAAGTGTATACCAATATACTGAATGATTTAATTTTCTTAGCGTTAGTGTCAACGCTTTACAGTTTCTCGTAATATGAAATGTGATTCTATTGCCTAAAAAGACTATTTAAGTGATGTGATTTACAAGATATGATGATCATGAAACATCAGTGCAGTGTAACAGGGGATGTTGAGTAAACAAAGATACCGGAAATGGTACATGTGTGTTTTCGCATATAGATAGTTGACTAAACGCTAGGAAAATTCTAAATGATGAATAATGATATACAGTAATATAATATTATCATACTCGTTATCATTTGATATTGTAAATTCATTCTTTTTAAATTTATTTATAGAAATTATTGAATCATATGATCTTGAATTAAGCCACAAAAAACAAATCTACCTAAAAAACTAATTACATAATATAATCACATTTGTTCTATATTCAGAATTTTGATTCTTTACTTGGTTGATTTTTTTTTTATCGTATTAATCTCTAGTCTATTTATAATCATTCCTTTTGTGAAAAAACCCGTCACCAAAAATACTAATTATTTTTTTTTAAAAAACGTGTAACATGTAACGCAATAGTAAAAAACGCGACAAAATATAATCAACATTACACAACGCGAACAAGTTACTTATTGTCAAAAACCTGAATAAATCAATTGTGTTAATTGTGGAGAAGTTAGGTGTGTTTATAATTATCCAAACAGTTGAACAATACATGTTTGTCGAGATCCGCGTAACTACTGTAGATACGTACTTGATAAATGTCTTGATAACTTTTTTTTTCAAGTTAAAGACGTGGTAATAGCGTGAATTTCAATGATTTATTTATCATTATGTAATTTTTGATCCAGTATCATAAACAGGTAATTATCTTCTTATTTTAATAATTCATCTGTAATGATATAAGTGATAAATTTTTCGCTCTTTGCAAAAAAAAAAAATTTGCCAATTTCTTTGAGATCAATTGTGAACCAATTAAATTTGTTTAAAAATTTTGCTAGATTTGGTTTATCAGATATTTTATTACATAATTATTATTCAAGATTGAAAATCTTGTATTAGCGTTAGTGTATGCGTATAACTTTTTATCGCGACCCCTGAGCTATCGTTAATTTTTCCGGTAATAAAGAAATGTATTTGTGATACACAGTACGTAGTGTAACAACATTATTGAATTATTATGACACATTGTTATCTAATGATCATAATGATCGAAATTGATCAATGAATTCCGACCGGATCTATAGTTTGCCCGGAACGTTTAATTTTCAGACCAAGTTATATGTTAACTAATTAATTGAAATTTCATCAAAACATTAGGTGAAACCAATTTAATAAAAGACATATTTAACAGTCAAAACGCAAGCACAATCAATCGTTGTCTAATATGCGTAACCGACTATAAAATCAACTAATATTAATCGAATTGGCCTTTTATGTGATATACGTCACTGCTGCAGCTGCATTATTTAGTATATAATCTACTAGTATATAAATTTTGAAGGCTAGTGGCTTCAAGCCGATTCTTTGTGCCCCGAACCCTATTTGTAACTCCAGAACTCTTCAAACCATTTTTGTGTCACATGATATTGTAAATGAAATATTTTCAAACCTAGCGCGTATTTTTTTCAAAACTTCTCGCGTCCTTTTTTTTTTTTTTTTTTTGCATTGAGATAAATTTCTTATCAATGACACAATGAGTCACTTGGAGAGCATCCAGAACTTCATATATCATGAAAAACGAATTGTATGTCACGGAAAATTACGATTCCAAGCATTATATTTAGCGTTTCTTTTTTTCTTATTTCACTTTGTTTTCAGGTAACCTACAAGTGGCTAAGTCTACGACTGGGAATTCACACGAACCATGCTAAACAGTAAGTTCAACCTCCAATTGAATCAAGGATTCCTTAAAACGCTCAAATTGATTCAAACCATTCTTGTAACATCAAAGAATGCTCTCAGAATTTGAATCTTCTGTGCCTATGGCAGGGAAAACTCCTCATGCGACCTATTGTATTTGTGGGGTCACAAAGGAAGATAAATATGCTGTGTTATTGGTATCTAAGGAAGAACTAGAAGGTATTTTATTTATCTAGAAGTAAATTTTTATGGTTTGACTATTTATCGTTGTCATCCGAATCTTCTCATCGATTCATATATATTTTTATCAGAAACCAAAAAAAAGTACAAAACCTTAACAAGCATTCATATTTATAGTATGGAAGAGCGCCGCCCCAAGGTAATATGATTATTAACGAATACTTCATCTTATCAATGTCTAAATTTAAAATGCTTTGATTTTGTGTAGGATGCATCCGCTCTTGTTATCACAGATTGCAAGCCCAAGAATATTGTATCAATCGAGCCATCAAACATGTCAAAGTCGAGTTCAACATCTACAACAAGTATATTAAAAAGAGATGATAAACCGAAAACATTCGAGAAAGATAAGATAGAGAAAAAAGATCCAATCTCAACAAAGAAAAAGCGTACGTCGAATGAAAGAAAATCTATAAATGTAAGAGGCAAATATTTGGGTAAAAAACTTTTTGAAAGCATTTTTAGAACATTGATTTACCTGTTATTAGAAAATCATAAAGAATAAAAAAGCCAACAATAACACATCCATAACATCACTTCTGCAGAATCCCATATCTCACAAAGAAACAGTAAGTGTGTGTGACATTCATTCAGAATTAGAAGAATTAGATTAATGATTGTTGACATCAATACAATCCTAAATTATGTATATCGATATTTAGAAACAAACAATGAAAAGAAAAAGTATTCAGGATGATGATGGTAAAAAGCTGATAACTGTTCATATGATCAATCTTATGTGGTTATTAATATTATGTCAATTATAATTTGATTTAAGGTGAACATGAAAATTACAATTTAGAATGTCAAGAAGAATCAGGTATAAAAATGGAGTTGGATACAAAACATACAGAAGATAGTAGCGTGACAAATGTGGAGATGGGAACTGAAGACGAGAAAAACGATACACACAATTTAGAGGAGGAATCAGGTATAGAAATGGAGTTGGATACAAGACATAGAGAAGACAGTAGCATGACAAATGCAGAGATGGAAACTGAAGACAAGAGGAACTATACGCACCATCTTGTTAAATCATTATCTATACTTAGTGATGGTATGGAAATTGATCAGGAGCAATCTCAATTATTATCTAAGAAACAGACAAGGCCCCGTGGTAGACGCAGGGTATCAAAAAAACGAATATATCAAGATGCAAAAGGTTTTAAAGTGAGTGAAGATACATACGAATGGGAATCATTTTCGGAAGATGAATGTGACCCCAGGCAAACTGGAATTAATGTGACAATTAAATCAGAAGGTTCAGGTATTAAAAATAAGCGTGGAAAGAAAAAAGGCGATGATTCTTCTCAAAAGAGCTTGTTGAATTTTTTTGGGAAGATTTAATGTCTTTATTATTGGTTTTGAGTACCGTGTATTAGATGCGGGTTTTTTGAATTCGTCTAAATTTTCTCGAACTAAATTCCTTTTATGGTTAATATATTATAAATCTTTTTTTTCTGCGTACGTACGTACGTACGTAATATCGTATCTGTTTATTATATTTGAATACTTTATTAGTATCTTACCCAAAATAGAAATTTCCTTTTTTAAGATTTAAAGTCTACGTACGTACAATTAATTAAATGTATGTATGTATCAAATGCTGACTGGCCGATGATCGCGTGATATAATACTTTAAACGTAGAGTCACTACTACCGAATCATCAGAAATAGTATTTTTGTGCGTTTTGAAACTTTTATATATATATTTTTATTGTAGTTTTTTACTACGTATAATCTAGCATTTACTGTAATATAAAATTTGTTAAATGCAATTTTATAAGATGTACGTACACGAATTTCGTGATTATCTGTTATAATAACACAACACAACCCTGATTTCGAATCAGGTTTAGGTGGTTGAGAACATAACTTTTGTTTTAACAAATAGATAATCACTATATTCCTTTATAAAAATGGACTATTATAGTGGTTGGACCCGGATAGCGGGTGGGTCGGGTATCGGGTTGCAGTTATGTCAACCCGGGTAAGAAGTAACGGGTCTACCAGAAGAACCACGACCTAGCGACCAATTTTTTTTGCGTCGTTTTTTGGTGCTTCTTTTCCGTTCTTTTTTCGGTGGTTTTTTGGTGCTTATTTGTTACTTTTTTGTGGCTCTTTCGTCGTTCTTTTGGAGTTTTTCCGTCATTCTTCGTCGTTCTTTTAGTGGTTTCTTGATCGTTCTTTCGATGATTCGTTCTTTTTGATACTTTTCATTTTTTCGGTGCTTTTCTGGTATTCTTTCGTTACTTCTTTGTGGCTCTTTCGTCGTTCTTTTAGTGATGCTTTCTTCGCATTCTTTTGGTTCTTTTAGGTCAATGTTAGGTTAACGTTGAGATCAACGTTGCTTATCTTCTTAGGTAGCGCATCCACAAAAATTGGTTCCCCTGTAATTTTTACTGAGAATTTAACGTTGTAGTTTGGGGCTGGGTTAGGGTTAGAGTTAGGAAGAGCATTTTTAATTAGGTCGCAGATAATGGTTTCTTAATTTAAATTTTGAATTATTTCTGTTTTTTTTATAAAAAAATAGCTATTATTAATTTTATAAATGTCTTATAATTTCGTTTTTTTTTTTTTTTTTAAGATGAATTGATATTATTCTGCGATGACTTAAATTTTGTGCATTGTGGCTGTGTTCCGTGTCATTTTTCTGTAAATCCACAGATAAACGGCCAAAATTGGTTTCAAAACTAGTCCGACTAGCTTTGTGTGTCGGCTCGACATCACTATTGGCTGGAGACGAAGATTCATCTTCTATCGTAACTGACTTATCTTTATTTAAGCTCATAGTGTAAGGATAACAATGATAAACTTTGCTCGATGTAACCAGAACGAATGTCAGGTTCGTAGAAGAAGAAAAGCTATTTCTCCCACATACCACATCAATTACTAATATACTTACAAAATTAGGCCTTTAAATTTTCGCGCTGCTTTTTTTTTTTACATTACTAAGTATTCTTCTGCCAATTTACAGTGACTTTCGTCTTCGATAATATAGAGCTCTATTTGACCCTAATAACTCGGTCTATGCCTCTTTCGCCTGCCATATTAGGGTTTGATAGTCTACTTAACATCACTGATCGATCACTTGATCGATCATTAGACCGAACATATTCGGAGATATCACATGTTCTCGTGATGATTCGAGACAAAAGCTGCTTCGATACTTACGTATCGAGCAGCTTTTTGTTTTGTTTAGTATACATTTGGGTGATCCCTTCTGCTAATCGAGCATCAACATATCGTTTTAAATTAAAATTCTTTCATATAATGATATTCATGAGACGATAATTTAGTTACAGTATATGCAGAAAGAGAAAAATATCTGATATGAAAAATTAGGTAATGTAACTAGGCGCTTGAGTTGTTTAAAAAGAGTTAGAAATGTATTATATTACAGTATTATATATATATATATATACTATATATATAGCATGTTATAAATCGGTTCTAGTATAGTTCTTGTGCAATTCATCAAATATTTTATCAATTTCATATAAGAATTGGTTTTTATTTTATCATTTATCCACCCGGGTGACCCGCGGGTTACACGGTCATGATTTTTCAGACGAGTCCAATCACTAGATTATTAAAAAAAATCTTGCAACTTCATTTTTGTTCTTACAGCTTTGGATGATCCTTCATGGTACCTATACCAAACTTCCGGTTTAACCAGGCTATCACCTAAAGAAATCCATTTTAATATGCATATATATATATATATAGTTTCTGTTTTTCATAATATAATATTACGAGTACCTTCTTTACCAGATTTCCTAGATTCTTTATCTAGCTCCATGTTAGCCTTCGGCCTTCCGAAAAAGTCTAATTCTGGTTTAATCAGACTATCACCTAAAGAAATCCATTTTAATATGCATATATATATAGTTTCTGTTTTTCATAATATAATATTACGAGTACCTTCTTTGCCAGATTTCCTAGATTCTTTATCTAACTCCATGTTAGTCTTCGGCCTTTCGAACATTTGCTAACTCATTCAAATACAATATGAGAAACTAATGTGGTGAGCATATGAATGTCAATATATTCAATAAAGTTGTAAACATTACTTTCTCGACTTGTTGCAATAGGAACGAACCGAATTCGGTTATAAATATGTTCCTCTTTAAGGTCAATCGATATTTTGCTTTCATTCCATTTAATGCAGAACTTATTTTATTTTCATTTGCTTGTTGTTGTATGTAGCACTAAAAGCAAAATCAAAAAAAAAAACCTTAGTGCATTAGAAAAAGCTTTGCAAAAAGTTTAATTATCAAACCTCATAATCTTTTCTTGGGTACTCTATACGTGGGTGAGAAACGCCTGAGAAAAATCGGTGAAAATTAATAATCGGATATGGAAGGTAGGCAGATAATCCAAATAATTGCATAGAATTTGTTCGATGATTTATTTGATCATAAAAATTGATCCATTCATTTATTTGAGAAAGCTTAAATTTTTGATCATGAAAATTATATTTGAGGTAATTTTCAAAACATCCTGTGAAATTATAACTTGATAAGCTCTCAGAACTTTATCTTATAATGATACAAGTATAATGAGGATAGCACCTTGCATCAATCTTTCATACTCTCCATTAGTGCTGATTAGAGATTCTAAACGAGAAATATAACGATTTGCATTGTTTTCTGTGGGCAGAACGCGGGAAAATGTGAATATACGATAGAATTATTTTAAACACCTGTATCTATGAAAAAACATAATAAATCACCTGAATCTCGCGCAACAACGGAATCATGTGATCTAACTTTCGAACTTCTCACTTGAAATATCTCCTCCCAGATTGTAAAGAGCGATTTATTTGTGTCTTTTTGACCAATGCTTGCATTCAATATTAATTCTCTTGTAACTATATTAGAACCTTGTTTTATGAACTAGCGAAATAGAAATATGAAAATTCCTATAATAGAAATAAAACATTGACTTATCGATAAATAAACGCAAACCTGTAAAGTGGTTAAACAGTTTCTTATATCACCTTCCGCTGACTCCGCCAGCACAAACAAGGTTGATACATCAGCTGATAATTTTTCACGGTCACAGATTTCTTTTAACCTCTTTGCAAGCCTGTTTGATTGCATTCTTTTGTAATTTACTATTTTTGCAGAAGCTTTGAGAGGGCGCAGCGCTGCAGTATATCTGGTAACATAGTAAATATATTGAGAATAAGACACGAAATCATTTCATTTAGTTCACAAATTTGAATTATAATACACTTACTGATCGTTGCAGATGCATATAATAGGACGAAGCAATGACCTCTTGACGGCCTTCCTTTTTTTGCCTTAAAGATCAGAGTTATTAAAGCAATGCATAACGACAATACCAAGCAAAAAATATCTTACTTGTTTTAGCTCCTTTAGACATCAACTGATTTACGTCTCGTGATGACTGTTTCTCTCCATCAACCAAATCCAAAAGCAATTTAACAAAATTCTATATAATTTTTAATGAGAAAGCAAGATTAATTGTATTTTGAAATGCGAAATGTAAGTTAAATAATTTCTAAACCTCGTCACCACTACTGGAAACCCCATCAATCTCGTCAATTATTATCAAGTTTGGTTTTTTATTGAAGACTGATTGAGTTTCCAAAGCATCCTTAATTCTATTTTTGATAACCTGGCCGGTTCGATCGTCGCTTTAAAGAATGATGACCTAATGTTAACTAAGGATGAAAAAGACAAAATTCGTTATTTAATAATTACCTCGCATTGATCTCCA